AATTCTTACGTGGATAATTAATTGAACATATAGTATGATTCTTGTTCATATTTTATTTGAAATAATAATAAAATTTTTTGAAATTAAAATAACATTTTAAAATTTATATTATAATTATATTTTAAATTACAATATTTTAAATCTGCAAATTGAAAAATAAAATTACTTATTTAGGATCTTATTTTTTTATAATCTCATTAATTTTTGATTTGTGTATTTGTATCGTATAATTTCATTTTGATATTATTGGTATTTTTGGAATTATTTAATATTTTTTATTTTAAAAAAGGAGTTTAAGATTAATGCTCTTCCTCGTTATAAAGGGGCAGAGCCTTAGCTTTAAAATAAAAAGAAGAAAAATTATTATTAGGTATACTAATTATCTCGAAATGATCGATCGAAATTTTGGGTAAAATTATTATATTAACTTTTTTCAAATCTTCAAAATTCACATTTTTATCGCTTTTTAAGTCACTTTGAATATCAGGAAAAAGTTTCAATTTCTCAAAAGTGTATAAAATGAAGCAGTTCAATCGGTGAAAAATTTTAAATATCTATATGCATGCATAGACAACACTCGAATGTATGTGAAAATCCTTTCAAGGATGGATCCTTTCTTGAATAAATGAATATATTTTCGAGTCAAAGCATCCGAAAAAATTGCTGGATAGAGTTTCGTCTAAATCGTTGAAAGTTAATTTAACCATTATAGATTATAGTATAGCAATAATAATAGAAGAATATAATAGTGTTTATAGTTACGATGATTACTATTTAATTTTAATTAACTTTAAGAATTAGTAATTAGAATTAATTATTTTGTGAAATTTTATGAACCGATTAATGAATGGAATTAAGCGAACAAGGCAAGTAATTAAATTTATAATAATCTTTGTAATCTCATTGAATATTTTGCACTTTCTTTTCGAAATTTTCTTCGTTTTTAAAATTTGTTTATTAATGCCGGCTCCATTAATTTATCAAAATTATCAACGATAATCCAGTTGCATCGAATCGTGCAACAGCATGAAAATGGAAATACTTTTGAAAAGTATATTATTGTTGAATAATTTTGTATTTTATAATTACATGAAACTTTATACGATCACCTTACATTTCCAATAAATTATTTATAATTAATTAATTTAAAAAATATATGTTATAGAATTTAAGGTTCACTGAAATTTTATATGTAGTTTTATTATTGAATGTTGCCAGCAACATCACTATTTCAAATAGTTGGTACCTATTTGTTTTTCTTGGATACTCAAATATTTTGTAAACAGATATAATTATAGTGTAATTGAATATATTCATTCAGCTAAACCCATACATTTTTATTTATTGTTTTCACTGTTCAGTGAACAATATGATATCTAATAGCCTAAGAAAAAGAAATAAATATATGATTTCAGTAGAAAAAAAATAGTTTATTTTGGGAAATACACCCCAACTTAGCCACCTCTTTCTCTTTTTCTTTTTCCTTTTCCTTCACGAAAAATACGATTTTTGAGGAAGAAATTTTCCAAGAAAGAATTTCTCGACTTTTCCCCCGAAACGGCTCCTCCTCTTCATCCCCCTTCCAAACAAGAGCGTTGGAAAGAAATTCGCGAAGCCCTCAATTCTAAATTTCCAATCATTCGCGATTACCATTCGAGCGGATCGATCCATACTCCCCTCTTTTCCACTATTTTCGCGCTTATCTCCAGGTATCCATCGCGCAAAACACTTTCTCAACGATCAGGGAGGCCGATTCCTTATCTCTCCGACCTATTAACCTTATCAGAATGCATAGATCGATTTCTCGAAACGA